AACCGGCTCGGCCCCCTCGTCATCATCCCGATGCAGGATTTATCGCTAAACCCCAGGGCTGCCCTTCTCTGGCCACGAAATGGGCAGAGGGGGTGAAATGAACGGCTTGTGCAATGCTGCCACCTATGGGAGGCTGCTGGAAATAGCACCTACCCATCTCACAGGACCACTGCGGGAGCGTGGTGACACCTCTGCTATCTGTTAATACCCTGGCCCCACCAGCCACTCCAAGTGCTGGAGGGCAACTGAAAAACCCTCCAGGGGAAAAGAGGATTTTGTCACTGAGATGCAGGTTTGGTTTTAAAGAGAACGCTCAGCTGCTGGTTCCGTAACCATAACAGGAGCACCCCGGATGGTGTTAGCTGCCATACCCAATGCCATTACACATGCTAAGATAAAGACAACCAGGCCTCAAGCTTCAGGGCCACAGGGGTCAGGAAGGAAAGGCCCTCTTCTCTAGGGCCGTTTTGCCAGGTCCATCAAGGGGTTTTCCCCCTTCCTCTGAAGGGTCAACTACATTGAAAGAGGCCAGATACAGGCCTTCATGGTCAGGTCTGGTCTGGCAACCCCCATGAACCAGTGGTCCATCTAGTCCTGCATCCCGTCACCGATAGCAACCAGACACTGCAGAGGAAGATGCAAGTGCCTCCCTGAAGGACGACCTCACAGCAACATGCCAATAGATCAATGGTTTATTCTTAGCCTAGGCAGCCACCAGTTGGCGATGGTCCTCACGCAGGTGGGGGAGAGTTAAAGGGTTTAGGTTAAAAAGCCTCAAAGCAGAAAAGCCTAGACAGCCTGTGTTTATAAAACAGACACTGAGAAGCCCCCACTTACTCACTGCCAGCGAGATTTGCTTACAAACACCACCTCACACAACCACTAGTGGGCCTTTTATACAGGTTCCTCCCCTGGGGCCTGTTTTCAGCAGCCTCTAAACAGCCACTCACAGCCCAGATGGGACGTTAAAGGCAAAGATTGGTGTGTTTAAACCCGCCAATCAACAGCTGTTTTTACTCCTAAAACACCTGATCCGTAGTCAGGCTCAGAATAACCCAGCCCAAACCCAAACCCCTAGCTACAAGTCAAGGCAGACGCTTCCCATCCAGTTCTGCTGAGAGTTTAGAACGTGGGGGCGGCTCTCTCAGCCGCACAGGCAAGTGCTGGCTTTTAGGAATAATATCAAACATGTACATCAAGCTTTGTACAGTGTCAAGAGCTGTCCAGACATTAACAACCTAGCTCAGTACCATCACACTGACGGGGAAACTGAGGCGGAGAGAGGGAAAGTGACCTGCCCTCACAGCAAGCTAGTGACACACAAGAACAGAGCCCAGGAGTCCTGGCTCTTGGATCTAGGCTCCAACCACTGGTTAACACGGCCTGTCTCCTCATTATAAGAGTCATCTCTGCCTGCGGTTCCAGATCCCCCATCCTTGCCTGGTTTTTGACAAGGTCCCACAGGCCGGAGCACATCCGTGAAGAACAGAGACAGACTTACTGTTGCCTCATCATGGGGATGTTCACACAGTTGGCGGCAGCTACGGCCGCGAACGGGACCCAGCGTGCCACGAGGGGCGGGGCTCTCTAGGAAGGAAAGAGACCGAGGTGAGCATGGCCATCACAGCAGGCCTGGAACCGTCCTCAGTGTCCCCTAGGTGAGAGGAGTGGCTGGGCCTCACCCCAGCGGAAAGCCAGCAGCATGAGAACTGGCGCCCTCAGCAGGGAGGAGCGACTGATTCTCAGGGACTGAGCCCTGGGGCAGGGCTGACTGTCAGAAGCAGAGATGCACGGGGAAGCTTGCTCGCTGCCCTATGGGCCAGGCCTTCAATGAAACCCTCCAACCTTCAGAGCTGTCGGCCAGCACCTTTCACCCAAATCAGACCCAGCCGCTAAACCAGGCAGAAAAAAATCCTGAGACCCAACTCCCTTATTCAACCCACTCCCCCGTGCTACAACAGCCTGGCCGGCTGGTAGCTAGTAGCTGTGTCCGGCTGCACCTGGGGCTAGTGCTGGAGTACTGCCGAACGCATCAGCAGGGCTGGGAAGATCAGCACCCAAAGGCCTCGCAAGGAGCATGGGAGGCAGACCCCAATGAGACAGGTTTGGGCACTGGGATCTACCCAGAAACCTGCTGCTATCTTCACAAGGAGGGAGAGCTGGTCCCAGCAGAAGCCCCATTTGCATGGCTGTATGCTAGGGGCGAAGGCGTAGCTGCGAAGGTGCTTTGGACAAGGAACACAACTAGGCATCGGGGTCGTGACCGCCGGGTTATTAAAATGGGAGGAAGGGTGTAGTATGGGAAAGGAGAACTGCTGTATTGCAGCAAGGGGATTTTAGCTCCTGGAGTGGACAGGAAAGACCAGGTCCCCTGCAGCGTATGCTGAATGCCAGATCTCTGGACCTTTAATGGGGCTGTTGAATCAGCGGCTTGTCCATGGAACTGACACTCCTGCAGAAAGCCTTTGGGGGAGAACACGGAGCCGCTGCAGGTCTGCTTCTGTATTCAACCTGGGGCCGCTTTACGCTCAATTGCAACAGCCATCAGCCGCCTGACACGCAGGGGGCGTCCATGCACCCAAGGAAGCTACCCCGGGCACCATCGCATGGACCTGTCTCAGTGGCACCATCGGAGAAGCGGATCTGACAAGCGGTGGAGCCAGCAGCGCCCGCGAAGGCAAGTCCCCCTGGTTTGCAAGCAGAGAGCCTCCCATGCTGCACCAATGCCCTCCTGAGATACCCCCGCTCCACAGTGTCTGACCGCCGCATGTACGCATAGTGGAGCCCCCCCCCACTGCGGTACCTTGGTGTACAGGTTGAGTCCCACTGCAGTCGCCAGGGCTGTGCTGGTGGCGGTGACGTAAGCCACTCCGATTTGCCTAGACAGTAATTTATGGGGGGGAAAATAACACAACTCAGCAATTCCCAGAGGCTGCCTGAACAAGTGCCCGTCCCCTGGGAGAGGCTGGGGGGCAAGAGGGGCACATCCTGAGCGCTCTCCCAGACAGGTTCGGGACTGGCTCCTGGAAGCCCCACATGGAGCTCCCAAAGGGCTGCGATTCACACCCTTGGAACGTTTCCACTTGGGGGAGAGAACGCAGGAAGCGCGGCCTCATGGTTAAGGCACAGGACTGCGAGGTGGGGAAACTGGACTGTTCCCGTGCCTCAGTTTCCCCATCTGTGAAATGGGTTGATAATACATCTCTCGGTGTTTGTGACATGCTTTCGGACCCTTTATGGTAGGGGTCAGACTATTCTTCTTAAGGTGCTGAAATCCTGCGGCTCATTACATGCCCTTGCTGGGATCTAACTCCCAAACTCTCCTCCTTGGCGCATCAGATTTAGGCAGCTCCTGCAGTTATCAACTTTCCAAAGACGCACAGCCCCCTCTGGGGTAGAGGGCAGCAGCCACCCGGCGCACACGCCGCCGCTCTGTGATGCAAAGAGGGGATGTGTTGGCCAAGGACACCAGGGCAGATCGCTGTCCATACAGAGCAGAATGGACCTTGGTGACTATAATGCCTTGGGGGAGGGATAGCTCAGTGGTTTGAGCATTGGCCTGCTAAACCCAGCGTTGTGAGTTCAATCCTTGAGGGGGCCATTTAGGGATCTGGGGCAAAAATCAGTACTTGGTCCTGCTAGCGAAGGCAGGGGGCTGGACTCAATGACCTTTCAAGGTCCCTTCCAGTTCTAGGAGATGGGGTATCTCCATTAATTTGTGGGTGGGAAGGGCTGCCCCCCTTGCGGGTCACCTCTGATGAACTGCTCCTAACACAGAGCCTGGGGAGAGGGACCTCTGGGCGCGTCTAGGGGCTCATGGGAGGGACAGCTCTTCGGTGAGGTCAAAAAGGACTCAGGTCCAGATATCTAAGCCAGGCAGCCTCCAGCCCCATGTGCCTTTAGACTCTGCCCTGGGGTTGATCCTGGGCATGACAGCAGCGCTATGCCTAGTCACCAGCGCCACAG